AATTTTTTCCTCCACTTTTTCCTTATTCTCTTTCTCAATGTGGCTCTTTGACTCTTATTTTTGCTCCATCTTTTCTTCTGTTTCTTTCTCCGTGTCTTATTCTTAGTTATTATTTATATGTCACTAGCACCTCGGTTCCCAGATGAAGGGTCAAAGCCCCATTGTGCAAGGCCCTGTGCACGCCCAGAACAAAGGCCTCTTTCCTCAAGAAAGCTCAAAACCTGTATGAAAGACAGGACACAAAAAGAGAACAAAACATTGCCATTTTTCCTGGGTCCAGTTCTCTCTTCCCTGATCCTCATGCCTTTAGCCCCAGCCTCCCACTGCCTATGGCAAAATGTGTCTTCGTGTCTGAGCCTGCAATGTTGGCCGTTATTTATAGGCAACGTGAGTAATACCATCCCCTTTTTTTGTTGGACAACATTATTGGCTGTAAGGGTGGCTGTTTATCTCCCTAATGAGTATTTATTGATAATAGGGATAAAGCCCAGGCCTCGAAACCCTGCAAAAGCCACCTTTGCTTTCGCTAAAGAGAAATATTCCTTTATAAAGGAACATGTAGTCTAGTGGCCTGAACATAAGAACGGCCATACTAGGTCAGACTGAAGGTCCATCTAGCCCAGTATCCTGTCTGCTGACAGTGACCAATGCCAGGTGCCGCAGAGGGAATGAACAGAACAAGAAATCATCAAGTGATCCATCCCCCATCGCCCATTCCAGGCAAACAGCCAGGATGGGCAGAGATGATGTCCCTAGCCTCTAATAGCCTATCCTCCATGAACTTATCTAGCTCTTTTTTGAACCCTGTTATCGTCTTGACCTTCACAACATCCTCTGGCAAGGAGTTCCACAGGTTGACTGTGTGTTGTATGAAGAAATACTGTCTTTTGTTTATTTTAAACCTGCTGCTTATTAATTTCATTTGGTGACTCTAGTTCATAGGCCTATAAGCCAGGAACAGCTCTATTCTTTGACAGCAGCCTTGGGCTCACGCTGTGCTTCAGTTTCTCCAACTGTAAAATAACCGACAACATTCGGAATTTAGTGGAGCATAGCCTTTGTGCTGGCCCTCTGCCCCAGGGTGTCCCTTTCACTTAAATATCTATATCATAAGAGTCAAGGATTGGTACCTGTCCAAGTGTCACCCTAAAGCCTAGAAAATCCGCTGAGTCAGCGTGGCGCGATTGAAACAGCTACATGCCTGGCTGAGAGAACTCTTTTTTTTTCATGACGTGGCCTCACCTGTGGGTTTCACAGTCTGTTACCAACCAGTGTTTAACTTTTCAGCCATTTTGACGTTACAGATGATACCTGTGTGTTGTCCAGCCACAGCAAGGCATGTGTCTATTCCATGCCAAGAGTCCTACATTCCTGTGCTAGCCGAGCCGGTCATGACCATTATTGTACAGCTTGTTTGCCTGCAACAATTTCACAGGTTGCACCGATGGAGGATTACTTGGCCCCGCTGCCAGACCACTGCATTCCTAGTTAGTATATAATCTTGACTCGTTAAATCTGGAAACAGGACTGTCAGGAAAGGGAGGGAATGGAGTGAAACATAGCGAGATGGGAACAGATAAAGAAAAAACACAAGAATTTCCAGAGCCAATGGCATCTCTTCCTGGGATGGAACAAAGGAAGTGCAGTGGTAATTACTTTTTTTTTATTTGTTTCACTCAAATTTGGACAAATAATTATCTTTTCATCCTCTGATCAAACGTTGTCTATGGCAGCTTCAAAGAGCGAGCCCCCAGTCCTAACTGACTTGGCGAAGCTTGTCCAACCTGGTGTCGGCTCATTCCAAACATTTAGCAAGGGCTGCGTCTTCAGGTAGAACATAGGCACCCATTCTAGGGGAGATTGCGTGGGAAGGAAGGCAAGCTAAAGAGGATTTATTAATGGAAAATGGGGTTCTCATGGTACAGGGCAAAATGCAAGCTCTGTCCAACTCTGGACACATCACTCTGAATCCATCAGTACAACGTGGTATTTTTTTTGGTACTTGAATAATCTTCCAGGTTTGGTTTTCCCGCAAACCTTCCCCAGTTTGCCAGAGATGGGGATGCCACAAATTGCGATGATGGACATGAGGATATTTTATCCTGTGTTTGGGGACCAGAGTTGACTTTAGGAGATCCTAGGATAAACTTTTATGTTGACTGTTAAAGGAACCTGAAAGTTGATGAGTTTCACCAGATTCCATGGTTTGTTATCAGCTCCAAACCTTTCCCTGAACCTGGGTTGAGTTTTCTGAGATTTGAAAGCCTTCAACCTAGGGGAAGTTTCAAGCAAAACCCAGAGGGGTTTCAAAGTTTCAAGTAGAGCTGGGCCAATTTATGGTCTGAGGGTCAAAGTAAGATGAAATCTGTCAGCCTCAGCTGAGTTTTGCTGAGAAAACTCACACAGAGTTAAAGAAAAATGACCCCAAGAGACAGAGCGGGACACAATGTTGGAATGGCCCAGAGGAAAGATAAGGCCAAGTATTTTTTGCAGACTGGTTACGATGAGGAGAATGAAAGGGAGCAGAGTGTGGAGATGGGAAGGAGAAGGATGCTATGATGGATGGGGACCACAACAGAGGGAAAGGTGGGTGTCGGGGAGGGTGAAGGTTAGTGTGGGAAGAGAGTAGAAGAAAGGGAAGAGTGGAGATGAGTGTTATGGTTAGGGGGAATGGAAGGGGATAGTTGGCAGAGGAGGGAAAGGTGAGCGAACATTATGGAGAAGGTCAATGGTGAGCAGCAATGGGAGTACTGACTGGTGAAGAACGTTGGCGTGTCCATTCGGTCTGGAGAGGTCCCAGTTCTAGATACGCTGGGAAGAAGCCACTGAAGGCCGGTTGGTGATATTTTCAGGCAGGTCTGGGAGAATTAAACAGAAAACCCAACCCAGCAAAACAGTTCACCATGCCCTGGCAGTGTCTACGCATGACACTGTCCTCCAGCATTATTTAGCTTATTGAAAAACAAATGACAAAGTGGTTTGCCTTGTGTGCTTCCCTTTAACTCTTCCTGCTCCCTCCAAGCCTCAGCTGCAGAGCTGGATTGAAACGCAGTCCATTTTGCTATGAGCTCACATTTTGGAGAGCGGCAAAATGTATTCAACCACAGAAAACTAAGTCATGTTAAGGGCCTGACGTAAATCCCACAGAAGGAAATTCAGAATTAAGGCTGAAAATTTAGACTGACACAGCAGCCCAACTGAAAAGAGATCACTTAATGGTGACATGAATTCCATTTTTTTTTCTAAGGTCCAAGTCAGGCCCTGAACTGTGAATTGAATTGACCTGATATATGTTTTTATTTTTGAATTACAAGCTGCTGACATCTCACAGAAAACAAACAAACGAAAAAAATCTAGTCGATGGGGCAACTGACTGGGACTCAGATGACACGGATTCTATTTCTGCCATTGCTGCTGGGTGACCTTGGGCAAATCATTTCACCTTTCTCTGCCTTGTTTTCCCCAGCTGTAAAATGGAGATGATGATACTGAATGCCTTTGCAAAGTGCTTTGAGATAGATGTCTAGTCATTTTAATCCAAGTTCTAAGTCTTCTGCTCGCAGAGCTGGTGTTTTCTTTTCTTTTGTTTAGTTTGTTTTAATTACAAAGGATGTTTGCGTGAAGACGGAGGGGAAGATTCATCAGATGGGGTGCCGGGACTGAAATTGGCAGCTTGCATCTCACCTGTTCAGGGGTGCCCGTTTGGACCCCGGTACTGGTAAGGGAAGCCCAGAGATCTTTCCCTTACTTGCATCCTGGTGCAATGACCTAGATGGGCCATTGTAGGGGAAAAGAACTACCAGGGTGTAGGAAAACCCAGGTCACACCTCTCCAGCCCCAACATGATCCCTTCTCCCTTATTCAGTCTACCACTTCCTGACATGCCTCCTGCAGCCAGGGCTTTTCCTGCCTGCAGTGGAGGCAGTGCATAGTTAGCAGAGCTGGTCTGATGCAGGGTTCTCTGTTCTAGGATTTCCCCCCCCCCCCGAAGTAGAGGGCCTTACACCTACCTGATGGCCCCTTCGTACCAGCCTAACAGTGCAACAAGGTTGCATAGCACTGACAATTCTGGCTCAGAGACCTGCTCCCTATCACAAATCCAGAAGAACTCTGCCGCTTCAGTGAAGTGCTGTGTTTCCATGCTGGTGTACGTGAGAGGAGAATTTAGTCTAGGACATTTGCTCCTTAGGACCCTTCTTTTTCTTTTTTTGAAAGAGCCCCACCAAGGCATACTCTATTTGTGCACAGAAATGCTCACACAACTGTAGATGCTCAAATACTTGCATATTTTTGCTGTCAGACCTCAGGCCTCCTGACGTTACCACCCCAGTCTTGCAAAGGTGCAAATGCTTCCTGCGGTGCTGAGGGTCTGTACACCGACTGGCTCTAGGTTATGGTCGAGAGCTTACCGTGTCTGGTGGGAACCACAGAAGAGGAGGAATACAGAACATTTCTGCTCTCAGCAGAATCATCCATGCGCTGTAAGTTTTCAAAAATCTTTCATGAGCCATCAGCAAATCTTTAAGCCAGACACTATCTAGACTGAGGTGCTCAAAATGTAATTTACCTTGACAATGTCCAATTTGTACTAATACAGCCCTCCTCAAGAACTCATTACCCATTCACAGATGGAAAATCCTATAGCACTGAAGGGACTTCATCTGGTGTTGTTCTGGATCCTATATAACAGTCTCCTGTCCTTTCAACTTTTCTAGTGGTGTGGCCCCAGTGCACAGTGGGACAAAACTGTATATCTGCTTTAGAAAGCCTGGCAAGTAGGGGATTTTTAATGGGGACTCCAACAGAGTCATAAACTATGAAGGCAGAAGTAGACAGGATAGCTGAGGGGTCTAAGACTGGGATACAAAACCTGACTTCATTAAATTGTCAGCCTAGCTCTAACCCCAGACAGTTGTAAATGGAAGCTGTTACCATCTCATGGTGACTTCAGTTTGACATGAGCTGGTGTCTCAACCCAAATCCTGGATAGACTACAGCTTGTCACAAAGCTACCACCACTGTCATCTCAGTGTGGAGGCCAAGGACTAGAACATGCAAACTGAATTTCCCTCTGATGTCTGGAGACAGGATCTCACCCGTGCAGGGCTGAGACATAGTAATGGTAGTGGTGGGGTGACATGGAGGACTCTTGCATTACCACTGTGGGGTTAGAGCAGGATGGGACTTTTTCCTCCCCCCAGGAAAAATTTCTACCAAAACAAAAAAAATTTTCACACTCATCAATTTTTTCCCCATAAAAGATGTGGATTTTAGAAATTGAAATATGTTTGGGTTTGTTGTTTGATAAAAAACATTGCTTCTGTGAAAAATTTCATTTTTGATGGAACCCTGTTTTTTGTCAAAAAAGGGAGGGAGGGAGCTTTTTTTGTTGAAAAAATTTCAACCAGCTGTAGTGGTGGAGATAATAAAAACATGCCAACCTCTTGCACTGTCATCACTAAAAACATTTCTTCTATTAAATATTGAAATAATTCGAAGTTCTATGTGAGGATCAATTTAAAGACAACATTTTCCAGAGGGTGGTTATAGATTTTTGGGACAGATTCTCAGATAGAGAAAATTGCTACATTGAATTGCTAAGTTGAAAAATGCCGGCTGAGGAACTGATCCGGACAATTCAAGAAAGGAGAGAGGCACTTTTAAGAAGGTGGCACATGCTGCCTGAAATGGAAATCACCCAGTGGCAGATGGAGTATTTGGAGCTATTCTTACAGCCAACATTATGCTTCCAAATGCAATACTGCTCTATCAGCCGTCTAGTTCAGGGGTGAACGGGATAGACTGGTAAATGAGACCCACATGTTATCAGCTAGTGTGTGAAATTTAGAAAGATCATTAGAAAATAAAGGGTGGGGGGAAAGCAGGCACTTTTTAGGGGCCTTTATCCTCCTTTTCCTCTCCCTCTTTCTTACCAACACAAATGAAGAGAGAGCTAGATTCCAGGGGATTTGTTTGGGGTAGGGCGTATGGAGAGCTGGAATCAGAAGCACATCTTGAACCTACAGGATCATGTATAGGCAGGTTAAGGAACAGCAGGAAAGTGAAATCTGACTTCTTCTTTCCAACCTTCTTTAATCTCAGTCCCTTTCCGCCTTTCTCTTCCTGCTCCGGCTCCTTCCTTCCAGGTCCCATGTGTCTGCCATTAGCCAGAGAGAACTCAGGATAACACACTGCTTATTTCTGGTGGCGTGAGCAGTTTCTTCTTGGGAGGCCTGTCAAAATGCAGCGCTTCATTACTCTCCTCTGTGCAAGCTAGCAAGAGCTGGTTTGGGACCAGGTTTCTCTGGATTCCTGGAAGGCAAGAAGCCAACTGTGTTCTGGATCTGGGCATAGAGATTTTAAGGGTAGACAGGACCACTGGGATTATCTAGTCTGACCTCCTGTGGGACACAGGCCATAGAATTTTACACAGTAATTCCTGTCTTTCTGGAAATTATTCTTTCCTATTACAAATGGGGGTTTTGCCCAAATCAATTCTGATTGCAGGATCCCGACTGTCTGTCATTTCCCACATGCTGGCTGCATTGCTGACCAAATTGCTTATTGGTTTAACATACAGCAATTAACATAAAATATTACCAACTTTGCGGGTTAAATGAACTAGCCAGATTCACACCTTCCGTCCTGGGTTGCAAGTCAATGTGGCTTTTCCCTTGGGGCTTGTTTCTCGGTAAGCAATGCTTCACCTTGCATCAGTCCACTTGTTAAAAGTACGCACACCTCTCCCCTCCAGCACCTGAGCTGGGAATTATTGCACGTCTGGAATCTGATTCATCTTAACCTAGACATAATATTCATAATATAATATTCCCTGTATATTACATTTCCTGTTGCCTCACACATGGCCCTAGTAAATGGTTAGGGTTAAGAGAGATGAAAAAAGGAAGCTCCAGTTATATTTTTCTGCCATTTCTCTACCTGGAGTTTGAACCCTGCCAGCTTTTTCCATTTCAATGTTTTGGAAGAACAAACGAAAGCATCCCTCAGGGACACCTGGCATTGGCCACTGTCGGCAGACAGGATACTGGGCTAGATGGACCTTTGGTCTGACCCATCAGGGCAAGAGGCAGTAACAGAGAGCTCGTGGCTCTGCTGCTGTTGAAGTGAATGGGATTTTCACCACTGAGTTCAGCAAGAACATGATCATGATGACAGACAGCTCATGCCTGTGGCCGGATCGTCCCTATTGCTTGTTACCACTGGGAGCTCTAGAGATGTCGCCAGCCACTTGCCTTTATCTCAGCCTCGCTGTCTTCCTTTGTCACCGCAGTCACCCTGTGAAACGAATTGCATCATTTCCTAATGTATGCGGAACTTTTCTTTTAAAGGCGAACGCACTGAATTGTGAGGGGGGGAACCCCCCAAAGCCAAACAAGAAGCTTCCCCCTCCCAATCCAGGCCAAATGATTCCAGATGCAGCAGGCTTTTCCCAAACGATTCTGAAATCAGCAAGAACCTGAGAAGGGTGGAGTGGGCTGCCTCCCCACAGCTGAGTTTATAGCTCGCTTGCTGGGTTCCCCCTCCCTCGCGAGACTGGCGCTAAGGAGACTAGGCGCTCGGGGAATTGGTTCCACTCTCAGGTCTAGTCTAGAAAAAGGGAGGGGAGTCTAGTCATTTCTATGGTTTTGTCAAGCAGCGAAACCTCTTTTCATGGGAGCTGCCCCAGATAATTTTTATTAAGCTTCACTTTACTATTTCTACAGTCAAATTACACCTTTGCCTCATTGTCTCTATGTAGACAGCTTAGGTCAGGGGTAGGCAACCTATGGCACGTGTGCCGAAAGCGGCACGCGAGCTGATTTTCAGTGGCACTCACACTGCCCG